TGGTGTTTTGCAATGTTTGATTTTTTGCTTTCGGGTGGGTTGTTGGGTTTGTGGTTTTCTGCCTCGTACGCAAGGCGCCAAGCTCGCCTTTGAACTCCCAACAACGACTTTACCGCAATGATGGCTGACATGTTTGCTCGTTCCACCAAAACGTCGGCACGATACGGTACTATTTCCAACATAGTCCGTTGTATTCAACAAATCTAATAAGGGACAGTTCTCAAAACTCTCAAGCGAAGATCTGTGAAAAAAACGAACCATGCCCGAAAAGTTTGACAAGATAAGGCGACCAATCAAACGTAAAAGGAATGCACGGCACTGGGTAACATGAGACATGACGCTCACTGCTTAGAGTCTTAGAGTCCCACAGAACCTACACTGAAAAGGCTCGGATTTGCGAGGATGGTGTCGTTGCAATCTCAATCTCTTCGCGGTTTGGTTCTGCCTTCGATTTGACGCCAATCCATGTGCCCAAGGCATCCACAAGCAAGAGCACAACCCTTCGCATGACCAGCGACATGACATGCACAAGTGAACTGCAAATACTGCTACATCGCCAGCTTTGCCTGTCTGATGATGTTCACACGGTTTACAGCTCAAACTTCTCGCAATGTCAATCGCTCCCAGCTTTTTTGCTGAGAACTCCCAGCCGAATCTGCATCTGGACACCGTACATGGCCTGGCGCCGATCCAAAGTCATGCACACACAACTCCCGACAGCGCTAATCCTGTTGCATGCTGCGGCTTTTGTTTGTCCCGGACAGAAACTGGTAGTCTCTTCGATGGTTCTGCAAAAATGAAGCTCTTACTTGTCCAGCTCGTCCATGCTACCACTTCACTGCTGAGGCTGGGCGCTAGGCATCATCGGGAATTTCACGCTGGACACGCAAGAACCTGTCTGCACCTACGTGGAAAAGAGTCAACGTCCACTGGACATCCGATGCAAAAGTGCAGGGAAGCATTTATAGTAATAGATAGCAAATAAACCTATAGTAATAGATAGCAAATAAACCTACACGACACAATGCCGTTTGCATAACGAATGCCAGTGGAGCAATCCCCGGTCCCGCCGCGAAAATTGGCAGGTTCTCCCTTTGTTTCGAATCAAGCAAGATTCTAAAATCTACATGGAGTGGCGCTCCCACCTGTGCTGGCGACCGTGATGCTGCATTCCATACCTAGGACCGGGCTTCACCGCCAGGCGAGGATTCTTTGGGCTCTGCCGCTGGCGGTTCAATCTTCTCTGGCTCTTTCGACTCGGAAGATTCCAAAGCAGGCGGCAGCGGGACCTGAGCAACGTCAACAGATCCGCTGGTAGCAGGCGGATCAGCATGTTTTTTCGACATGGCATCCACTATCGCAGCGACCACTTCAGCCTCGCTGGCCAAACTCGCTTTCAAGCTCTCCTTGTCCGTCATGCCTTTCAGCTTCTCCAACTCTTCATGCCGTCGTTGGAAGGCTAAGCCAACGCTGGCACTCGCGCTTCCATGAACAATGATTGGCCACCTCAAACCGATGTTGCACGTGTGGCACAACTCTGCAACAATGGCACCTGGGGGCAAGTACAAGGCGTCCCCCGGCCCAACGGTGGCCGTTTCCAAGGAGCAGGAAGCTTTGTAGTCGGCGATAGCAGAAAGCCCCAGGCTTCGGAAGAAGCCTGACATCCTGGAGGTTGTGATGATGCCCTCCACTCCTTTCCGCTGCATGTAGCCCACAAGCTGAACAGCACAGGTGATCATGACGCATCGGGTGCCAGCGATGTTAAATCTCACACATGCCATGCCTGCACACTCTGAGGAAACCTTGTCATACGTTGCATCGATCCCAAAGACAGACAACATGATCTGCTGCTGGAGACATGCTGCAAGAGCATCCTTGTCAACAACACTGCCACGTTTGAACATCTTGGCTACCTCCAAACCGAAGTCGAAGCCAACAGCTGCAGCATCCAAGTTCAAAGCCTTGGATGCTCTTGATCCTTTCTGCTGGGCCCTCATGAGATCAAACTGAGTCTTGAAGTCATCCACGGCCACTCGCAGGGCTGTCTTCTCCTGCAACGCGGACGCCACCCAGTCCTCGACACGCACGATGAAAGGGCGGGTCAAGTCCAGCGCTGTGGGGTTCTCGGCTTTGATCAGGTCCCCGAGCTTGTGCTGAAGGATCGGGGTTGCGTGGGTGATGCCCTGGTCGAACAATGGCAGGGTAGCTGTCGGAGGATCGGCCGCCTTCGCCTTCAAGGCCTTCGCAGACGCTTTCTCGGTCATTTTCTTCGCCTTTTCCACGGATGCCTTGAGAGCCTTCTCTGCCCGCAAAGCTCCTGCAAGCAGCTGGCTGATGGGGGCACGAATCGCACCCAGCTTCTCGGACACGTCCTGATAAGGGTCAGGCATCGTTGGGAAAGTTAGTTTACATCAGGCATGAGCATTCAGACATTCA